CTAGATGTATATTGTAATTATTCATATATCCAATATATTCTATCGTATAGCGAGTCGGTGTTTTTGAGGTTACTTTGGCAGTTGTCAGTTAACTCGGGGCTAAGCCGATGAGTACGGATCGAGGCCAAGCCTCACGAGTGTCAGTTGGCAGTTGGTTCTTGGCCATGACAGCAATTTGTTTTAGCTCCAGCAATGGCACGTGTCAAGAATGTCAGAGGTGGTCTAGGTGATGAGGATCCGAGGCCTCCACCTTGCTTGACTGCTCAGGAGAAAGGCAAGGCCAAGAAGACCACAACAAAGAAGCAGAAGCTTGTTGATGTGGAGGCTGAGAGAGCAGTAGCAGTGGCTGCCGCTGCAGAGCGTGCAGACAGAGGAGGAGCTCAGAGTGGTGTCCGCATTACAGATCAGTTTTCACCTACACAGAGGGCCACCATCGAGAGGGTAGAGAGATGTCATGGTAGTCCAGCTGGGACTGTCATGCTTGAAGGACGGCGTGTCACTTTGGAGGAGACTCAGCCTCAGGGGAGACTGTTGAGTAGTAGGCACAGCCAGTAGAGTAGTCAGAGGGCACCTAGCCGACTGAGCAGGCAGAGCAGACAGAGGAGATAGAGCAGGCACCTCAGCCATAGTTACGACGCTCTGGTCGTACTTGTACCCAGGTGATACCGAGGCCTAAGACACAATGGAGGGGTTCTTGTCCGCCTCCCAGACCACAGGGTCCGCCTCTAGTGACTTACCTTGACCTGAGGGCAGCCATAGCCAAGCAGGTGCAGCAGCTTAGGTTCATGCAGTTCGAGGACTGGTTTTCACCGAGGCGGGATGAGCGTGCTTTAGAGGGATTCTATACACCACTGCAGGAGGATTTCTATCAAGCATATGTTAACAGTGGGGTTGCATTCAGATCTCAGAGAGTTTGCTCTATTAAGGCACTTGTAGCAGCAGCAGGAGAGCAGATACGCCGTCACCTCTCATATCTGCTAGGGTTAACAGACCTACTTGGATGGACTTGCCGTTATGTTCCATCATAGGTCCGTGAGTTCTACTCTTCACTTTGGATTGACCCAGACCACAGGTTAATACACTTTACATTCAGAGGCCATGACTACAGGTTGCAGAGCTCGAGGGTCAGAGAGATTCTCAGGATTCTAGAGTCACCCATTCGGCTTCATGAGGTTTGCTATGGTCAGACAGAGCCTCCCAGATGCCCTCACGGTGGTCTTGTGCCTCCCACAGATCTGGTCCGACCTTGCTTCACAGAGCCATTCGGCGAGGGGTCGAGCAGGACACCTAGAGATCTTACTCCTATAGCTAGGCTGCTTGATGCTATCATGAGGAGGACTTTGCTTTCGAGGATGAGTTATCGCGAGGGATTGACTCGCATCCAGTTGTGGCTAGTGAACTCTCTGATACAGCAGATAGTATTTGATATTTGGGATGTCATTCTTTCAGAGATGGAGGATACTCTTGCAGAGGGGTTCAGAGGTCACAGACAACTGTCTTATGCTTACTAGATTACTTTCTTGATTCGCAAGGCAGTTATAGTGAAGTCCCTAGAGACGATGGCTGAGTACACTAGAGCTACTACAGAGTTCCCTCCATACAACATGACCCAGATGCTCCGTCACAGCAGAGCGAGGACTCCTAGTCAGCCACACCATCGCCCAAAGGTGCCAGAGACTGTAGCCCAGCAGGATGAGATCATCAGGGGCGTTGCAGCAACAGATGAGTAGCTAGATGCTCAGCAGGAGGGTATGGTCGAGAGTGATCCTAGTGACAGCTCGGATGATGATTACCAGGCTATTCCTCAGATGCCTCCTCGATGACATGACAGTGAGGCCGGTAGCTCCAACTCAGCTCCACCATAGCCACCACAGACAGACCCCGCTCTCCTTGCTATTCTTGAGCGAATGAGGTAGGATCAGGCATGTCAGGCCCAGGAGACTACAGGTGCACTAGCACAGGTTCAGACTAGATAGGACGAGTTCTAGAGACAACAACAGGCCATACAGCAGCAGTAGCAGGCCATGCAGCAGCAGTAGCTCCTGATGCAGCAGCAATTACTTGGATTTATGCAGCATGTTGTCACTGCTATTGGGGTTCCTTCGCCACTGTCTACACCTCAGCTCGGCCAGCCTGCCACCACTTCAGTGACTCCAGCTTTACAGCCCAGTGGGCTTCAGAGTTAGGGACAGCCAGCTACATAGTTTGGTTCACCGATAGAGTAGGTGTCCCAGTGGTTTGCTTCACCAGTGACAACCCAGGGTCCTTCCTTCACACCTATTGTCACGGGCTTCACTCTGCCTCAGAGCTCCTCAGTGCTAGTATCTGACACCCCAGTCTCCAGGAGCCTTGGTGCTACTTTCAGTGAGTTGACAGGGCAGCCTACACCGCCAGAGTTGCGAGTCCTTGCATCTTCCATAGTTGCTCCAGTTACTAGGACCACAAAGACGCTCCCATCATCTATTGCATCATCAGAGCCAGCTCCTATAGTGATACCTATTGAGTCACAGGCCACGCTAGTCCCAGAGCAGACCCAGACTGCTTCAGCTTCATTTCTAGCGACAGAGGATCAGACAGCTTAGAGCTCGGGATCAGAGGATGATGTTACATAGTTTTAGATCGCTCACCGCACCTCAACGCCCGACTCATCTGCTCCTGCCCCGCCGATAGACCCTTAGGTTTTGGTGCTTGACGCCAAAGGGGGAGAGAGATCGATTATGTTAGATCTAGGGGGAACGTTATATCTAGGGGGAGCTTATGATTTATTACTTTTGACTTTTCATGTGTGATACATTATTATGCATTCATGTTTACTTTCATGCATTGAACTACATAAGTGTGATAGTGATATTTATGTGATATGTGACATGTGTGCTCTCTACTTTGATCTTTATATATGTTATGTCACTTCATTATGCTCATTTGGTTTGCTTCCGCATTTTTACTCCGATGAAAATAAGCTTTATTTTCTTGTACTCATTCTTATTTCATATCTATTAAGTACACCATATTGGCTTGGGTCATATAAGCATGTCTAACTCCTTTGCTCTTATTGTCAAAAGCTTATTTGAACCAAGCATGTTGAAAACCTCATCTCTTACACATACACGAGGTTGTATTGTCATCAATCACCAAAAAAGAGAAGATTAAAAACACCTAGGCCCCTAGTTGGGTTTCGGTGATTAATGACAATACGAGATTACTATGACTAACGTGTGTTTTGTAGAGGCAATTAACTTAGGTCATGGTAATAACAATTGATTGGGCAATCATGGTTGTCATGCCCCTACGATGGAAATCGTTTTGGTTTTCAAAGGATGGACGACAAGGTTAAGGATGGATTAGTTCTAAGTGTCGTTTGGTGTTGAAGAGACACTTATAGTAGTTTATGACTTTGTTTTTCCTTTGGCCGTACTAATAAGGGGGTATTGACTAGTAGCTTGACCTATGTGAGTCTAGTGGGTTAGGTGTGGTGCACACTTGTCAAATTTAGCACTAGGTAGCTCAGGAGTAACCCTAAGATCATTTGGAGCAAACTTTATTCACATATGATTTTAAGTTGGAAGTGAATGGAGGGTCAAATGACTGACCAGACGCTGATCTGGTTGTGACCGGACGCTGAAGAGTGAGTCCGGTCAGTTCATTTGATCAACTAGAGCTGTCTGGCTACGACCGGACGCTGAGTGAAAAGTGACCGGACGCTGGGTGCCAGAGTTCAGTCAACTCTAGAGAGGTTCCAGGGAGGGAGATTTCTGATCGGACTCGTCCGGTCAGTGCTGACCAGACGCTGATCAGGATCCGGTTACTGACCGGACGCTGAACAGCGAAGTGACCGGACTCTAGGTTCCAACGTCCGGTCAACATCAGTAAGGTTCCAGAGAGTAGTTTTCGTGACCGGACGCGTCTGGTCAGTGCTGACCAGACGCAGGTCAGAGTCCGGTCATAACTTAACGGCTCTGTGGAGGGGATAACTGACCGGAGCGTCCGGTCACCCCGCAGAGTGCTGGCTCAACCTCCTAACGGTTCATTTTGATTGAGGGGGGTATAAATACTTCCTCTATTCATCCAAGGGAGGTCTCTTGCCCATTTGTTCAGCTGAGAAACACCCTTGAGAGTGCTAAGGAAAGCAAGAGCCTAGTGAGGTGATTGAGATTTGAGAATCCAAGATTAAGGCCTTATTAGTGCAAGGAGAGTAGCAAGTGTGCATTCATCCTTCTCATTAGGCTTGTTGTGGTCAAGTGAGAGTTCGTGCTTGTTACTCTTGGTGATCGCCATCACCTAAACGGCTTGGTGGTGATCGGAAGTTTGGTGATCATCCGGCGGAGGTTGTGGATGACCCAACTCAAGTTGTGAGCGGTTGTGGGTGATTCACCGCGACGGAGTGTCGAAGAATCAGCCCGTAGAGAGCACTTGATCCTTGCGCGGATCAAGGGGGAGCTACACTCTTGCGCGGGTGCTCCAACAATGACTAGTGGGGAGTGGCTACTCTCCGATACCTCGGTAAAACATCACCGCGTTCCTTCTTCTCTCTTTACTTTAAGCATTTACATTTGAGCAATTCAATTATTGTCTTTACATTTCTAGAATTGTCGTGCTAGAGTAGGATTGGAGCTTAGGTTGCAAAACTTTTGTGCGGTAGAATATTAGAAACACATTCTAGGCACAGGGGGTGAAGTGGGCTAAGTGTAGAGTTTAATTATTTCAAAGAATTTTAGAATTAATCCAATTCACCCTTCTCTTGGGCATCTTGATTCTTTCAAATGCCTTGTTCCATTGCCAGAGAGAAGGTGCCTTATAATAGGGTCGAAGAACATGTATTGGCCTGGTGTGCCACCCAGCTCCACATATCTTAGGAACTCGCTCGCACCGTCTGCAAACCGCTCGAATCTCCGGACGGCAGATCCTGTCAGCTCGTTGTTGTCGCCACCACGACTCAAGAGCGATGACAAGAACGACTTGGTAGTGTGAGCAATTCGCTTGGGAAAGGTGGAACTGCTTACCCTGTGTTGTCTCTCCTCTTCTTCCAAGCGCTGCTTGCACCTGCGCAGGGTGTGGTCGCACTCCTGCACGGCGCGCTTGAGCTTGCTCTGCCAGCGCAGCAATGGCAGGCTAGTGATGTTCCACTTGTTTGATGTCTCAAGGGCGGCCTCCAGCTTGATGTGAGTCATCTCCATCATTTCCATGTGCTCCTTTCCATCTGACTTGTGCCCGTACCTCTCCTTCAAATTCGATAAGGCTTGGCTAACCGCCTCCTGGGCCACTGCAGAACTGACCATCTGTGCTGCGGCTGCCATTAGGATTGATCAAAGCAACTTGTAGTAGAATCAATTTTCCTGCATGCTCAATTGGAAAGAAAGCAAAATACTCATCAATACATATAAGAGTCAGAATGTCCCCGTTCATCAGTTTTGCAAGTGCAGAGGAAATCAGAACCTGGTGAGGTTGAATTGAACAAGTTGTATGGTCGCTAGCTCTAGCTTCTTAATGTAACATGTAGTCCACCTGATTATAAGAGAAAAAAATGCTGCAGGGTTCTGAGCAACACCAACGAGAGTTTGTGAATCTGTCTATCCTGCCCAGCCGGCCAGCTGTATGACCATACATGTCGAGAGGTACTTCATTTGAGAGCGAACATCGTGGAAATTTGTCGCACATAGGCCCCGTTTGGCTTGCTGAAACTTAGCTGAAAAACATTGTTCTGGCTAAATTGTTGTGAGAGAAAAACACTGTTCCAACTGAAAAAAACAAAGCTGAATAGTACGGATTATAAGGTAAGCCGAACAGAGCCATGGTTGACAGTTGCACACACGGAAACTTTGAGTGGAGAGCAAAGCACTGAGGTCGACGTATGTATCACGTCTTGGAGACCGTTAGTATATAGACACGCCATAGGACCAAACAGAGTCAGGTCGACGGGTTGACAACTAAGGTTGGAAATTTTGACTGGAAAGCTCGGAGCAAAAGCAGAACCGAAGCTGACGGCGAGCCCGCAGCTGTGGCCTTGTGGGCCCCGCCGGTCAGTGCCACAGGGTGGAGAGGGAGAGGACGGGAAAAGGAAAATGATTTCCTGCCTGGGAGTGCGCGGGTGGAGAGGGAGAGAGCGGGAAAATGATTTTCGGCCTGGGAGTGCGCGTGACATGGCCTTGCGAACGTGAGCACGGTGGGATCCGGGTGTCAGCCCGTGTATATAGGAGGAAAGAGTTGGTGTGCGTCGACTCTTGACTGAGACTTCACGGAAAAGGTGCGCGGGGCTAAGCTAACGACTGTGTGCCATATATGTTGGCTAATTAACGTTCTGTAATGACATGCAAATGCGAACGCATGCCACTCGCCATTCATGCAAATGCAAATGCATGCCGGATCACACGTCTGTGCACGGTAAAAAATGAAGAGATAGCAAACGTTCCAGCTTCCTGTGCTAGCTTATCCGCACTGAACATTCAAACGCCATCCTCCGCCATTCCAAATTCAATCGAGCCACACCAAAAATCCCAAAAGACTCCAAATCACACATGTGTCTAATTACTATATGACGTGCACCAAACTAACTTAAGAAAAATACTTTCCAGTGAAAAAGGAGAGGTTTATATGGGCTATATTTTAATACCAAAATATTCCCAAATAATAATAAGCACAAGTAGCTCTAAGTTTAAATTAAAAAACGGTTTTACGACGAAGCGGCGTTCGTTGCAATTCGAAAACTTTTCATTACAGATGGGTAATTAGTTCAATGACGAAGTTTTGGTCGTCACAGTTCTAAAAGCATATCATCACAAAAGAGTAGGAACAGTTGCACGTGTGATCTATGACGAAACCATGTGTCGTTCATTGATGAATTTTTGAGACTATTTGATTTCTTCATAAAGAGGCAGGACAAGTGGACCGTCATCGATGATCCATGACGAAACAAAAAAATCGTCATAGAAATCAATCTTCATTAAGATTTTCGTCATAGATGTGCATATTCCTACGAGCGAATGTTACTGCTTTTGGACTATAAACTTCATATATGATTAGGTTAAATATTGATCAAAGGTAACGAAGTTTTAACTTTGAAATACGTGCATGCTTTATATTTGAAGAGGGAGGGAGTGATACTATAGTACATTTATGCTCCACAAGACTAAATTAGTGTATTAGACATTAGTATTGTCCTCAAATATGGTGTGCACACTTTGGTATACAGTTACACCAAGAACGTTGTATTTATTTAGAGGGCTTTGTTGTGGTACTCCCTAAATAACTATGAGTAATTCATGTAATTGGGTTGGATGGTTAGGATCATCTATTAATTTCTAAGAGGTAATAGGTTATATGTTTATTTATTTAATTTGAAATTTTAAAAAATAGGATACATAAGGAAAGTTTTAGATATAAAAATATTTTTTCTAGATCTAATTATGCATGCATGACTTATTGGATGTGGTAAATCTTTTTATTTCGCTTTGGACATGACATAATTTGATTAGCCATAACTATCATGATCTATTTTTGATGCATGTAACATGATAGGTTTATATGCATGCATGACATCGGAGTGATAGTTGTATTGTACATAACATATCGTTCATAGAGTTGGTAAAGAATAAGAACTACTTTTGACTCGACAATAAGGCTTTAAAATTAGCAATAACATAAATGTCATGTATAATATATTTATCATAGAAACAACATGTCGGTGTTTTGTAAACCGGACTAGTAAACTTATACGATTGCCGCACTGCTCTAGGAAGATGATGGTAGCATCCAATAGACACAAGGATTTATACTGGTTCAGGCCAGAGCCCTACGTCTAGTCTCAGAGATGATCGAGTGCGTGTTTCTCGCTTGAACGCTTTGAAGTTCTTATAACGGGGGTGCAAGAAAGGTGGAAGAGATGGAAGGACCTATGCTAGATGAATGGCTGCCCAAAGAGAAGATCCAAGAGCCCTACTACAACGGTGAATGAATGAAATGGTGGGGGATGTGAATTGTCCCCGAGATGGGTGTCCTAGCTGCCCTTATATAGAGTTCGGGGCCAGGGCTTCTACAAAGAGGAGGTTCTCCCGACCGAAGGGTCGAGAGTCTGAGGGAGGGCCTAGCTAACTTGGCTTGCAAGCTATGTCATCTTCTGGTGCACGTCCGGTCATGGCTATCGTCATGGTCTTCTGGCCATGTTGCGGCAAGATGTGACGTGGCATCCTGTGCAACGCGGCGTCCATCGTGGCCTTCATAATCGTCTCCTAGTTCCTAGGGGTGTCGTACCCGAAGTAAGTAGCTGCCCTAGGTCATCGTTCGCTTGGTCACTTTGCGGGGCCGAGGGCCACGCCCCGATCGTTGGGGTCGGGGTACTCTATCGGTCTGGATGGCCTTTCCGTCGAGTCCCTCATCATGGATGGGTGGGATCGTACAAGCGTCCAATCAGTCCATATTTGGACGGTGGGTATCGTACCTGTTGCCACCGTGGTGCGGTGTTGTCTTGTTGGTGCGGCATGGCACAGGGAGGATGTCTGATCGGGCTAAGGTGACTGCTGTCCCCTCGGTCCATGCTGGGTCAGTGCGGCATGCTTGCCCTAATCAGAGTAGGTGCGCCTAGCTGCACTCGACCTCCCCCCATCCCCTCCGAGGGTTTTGACGGGGAGAGGTCGTGCATTTTGTGAGCGCCGTGTGACTAAGGCGGGTGGAAGGGGTCGGGGCTGACCCTATCTTTAGCGCTTGGTCTGGTTTGCTTGGCTCTTGCTTGGCCTCAGTCATTTGGGCCCTTGCTGACTGTTGTATTGTAGGCTGCGTGGCCTGCTAACTAATCGGTGCCTTGAGACACCTGGGGTTATGACCCCGATAGTAGCCCCTGGGCATTTTTATGACCACGAAGTGATCGTGAAAGTGCTGATGCGTGTGTGTGCTGGAGCGTGGGTTCGTAGTCGTGGCTTTTCCGAGCTTCGCCGCTCGACCCCTTGCGGGGTTGGTGCATTTAGGACGATGGTTGGACATTGCGCCTCATCCCGTCCTGTCGAAGTGGTGTGTGATTGCTGAGCCTTGCCGTGTGCCGCTCATTGGGGTCCATGACCTAGGCGGGGCCGTGTGGTCTCACCGATGTTGCATCGGCCCTACCTTCGGGGAGGTCTAAACTTTTCTATCCTTACACGGGCATCCATTACTATCCATGACCTTTCATAGTTCACCATGCGACGAGGGGTCTCGAGCTACTCTGTCCCCCCTAGGCCTATAAGTACTAGTCCCCCAGCCGTTTGAATCATACGTCGCTGCATCTACAAATCATCTCCCACCCTCCTGCTGAGAGAGAGGAAATGGGATAGAAAAGCTTAGGGGGGAACCGCGTGGCTCCTATTGGGTGTTCCTTTCGGGGTCTCTTACGGTGGCCAGAGCTGGCGTAGCCCTTCCAACAATTAGTGCCAGAAGGTATTTTGCGAGCAGGGAAGGACCGGGGCGGTGCTTAGGCTAACCATAGGGTATCATGATCCAAGCACTTACCCGGACTCATATGTCTTGGGTTGCCAGAGCACGAGCACCAAGGACAACTTCCAGTTTCTCCCCATACTTGTAGACAGCTTTGGAAAGCCACCATAAGTTCGGGGGAGGCGTTGCCATCCCATGGTGTCCCCTTCATGCTTTTTGAAGGATGATGGTGGTGGCCTGAGGGTTTGTTCCTGCCCCATTCTTTCTTCCCTGCGCGCCCCTACCTATAAGGCTAGGGTGCTATAGGGAGGAGTGGGAGGTGATTTCTCGCCTCTTTTTCCAACTGTACCTGTAGCAGGCGCCTCTAGGGCCCCCGACAATGCTGCCTCGGCAATGGTGTCATAGTGCGTCTCAAGCGGCTCGACTGCTCTTGTACTGCCCGAAGTTGGGTGGAAGAACGACCCTTTCCGTATGTTCCCTTTGCTCCCGTGGTGAGCCCCCGGGTCGCGAGATCAGGGTCGCGGTTCTTACACAAGAAATCATTTTCTCGACCTCTTCCTTCATGGTCATGAGGTTTTTTGTGAACGTCCATTTGGCTCGTAGGTCTTGGAACTTCAGGTTTTTTCCATGTGACTAAGCCGTGATCACGCTTTGGGCCACGCGTTGCTTCTCGAGGAAGACTATATCATGTTTCCCTGGCCATTTGCTTTGTCGTCCTCTCTCGAAAGGGTCATAGACCCTTGGTGGTTAATGAGTCTCCGGAGCTGGCCTTAGGTCTGAGACCTGGGACACAGGGAGGAGTCGACCGTGATTTGTCCCTGGCTTTTTTTGGGGTCATGGGGACCCGACTCCATCTTTCCCTGATGTGCTCACCAACCTTGAGGGGTCACAATGCCTT